GCGCCCCCTGCAGGCAAGGCCCCTCTAAACAGTTTACCCAGGCTCATCTATTTCACCTGGCAAAGGCTGGATGAGGTGAGTCCTATGACTGGCCACCTTGCAGGGTGCTCTGCGTTTTCTGAGATTCTGAATTCGTCTGGCATCCATTCATCATAGGGCCAATTGTATTCTCTATTTAAAATTTTCTGTGTTCTTGATGCTGTGGCATTTGTGATCTTGCTGAGTGGGGAGAGACTCCCCTTCCCAGTCCTAGCTGATAGCAAAGGATAGACAGCCTTTTGTTTTTGAGACAGAGTTTCACTCTTGTCCAGGCCGGAGTGCAATGGTGCCATATTGGCTCATGGCAACCTCCACTTTCCAAGTTCAAACGATTCTCCTGCCTCAGCCTCCCTAATGGCGGGGATTACAGGTGCCCACCACCATGCCCAGCTAATTATTTGTATTTTTAGTATAGACGGGGTTTCACTATGTTAGCCAGGTGGTCTCGAGCTCCTGACCTCAGGTGATCCACCCGCCTCAGCCTGCCAAAGTGCTGGGATTACAGGCATCAGCCACTGCACCTGCCCAAGTTTTAGAGCTCTTTATATGTTGGGGATACAGATCTGTAGGGTTTTGAGGGATCTGGGAGCTGATGGAAGAAAAAGAGGTGACCATGGGAGGCAGTTACACAGAGCAAACTGCACTGAGTGGGGCTTGGACAGGGCAGTATGAGAGGGAAGTTCCCCACAGCATGAGACCGTCTAGAGGCCTGAAGGTGCAGGGGCCAGCATCCAGAAGGGGAGGGAGGAGAGCAGGGAACCCTTGGAGAGGAGCCGGGAGTGGGGACCTCTGTGTCTAGGCGATGCTGCTCAGCAGCAGGGCCGTGGGAGCAGATGGAAATCTCTGGGTGTAGCAGCCTGGGTTCTAACCACAAGGCACTATCTTACCAAAGGGTAATAACAGCTGTCAGATGAGATCTGCGGGGGTGGGGCAGGATGGGAGATGGCATGCAAAGCAGGCAGGCTCTCAATCACTAAATCTCTGCTTGTTTGGGCTATTTTAAAAATAAATAGAAGGGTCAGGCGGGGTGGCTCACGCCTATAATCTCAGCACTTTGGGAAGCTGAGGTGGGCGGATCACAAAGTCAAGAGATCGAGACCATCCTGGCCAACACGGTGAAACCCTGACTCCACCAAAAATACAAAAATTCGCTGGGCATGGTGGTACACGCCGGTAGTTCCAGCTACTCCGGAGGCGGAGGCAGGAGAACCGCTTGAGCCTGGGAGACAGAGGTTGCTGTGAGCCCAGATCGTGCCACTGCACTCCAGCCTGGTGACTGAGCGAGACTCGGTCTCAAAAAGAAAATAATTCGGTAGGTAAAAGTTTGAGTTTGGCCCCAGAAAGATCTTAGGCTGATGGGTCTCAACCTGAATTAAAGAAATCAACAGTCCAAGAGTCAAAACCTGGAGGCTGTCTTGGGCTTATTTATAACAACTGATCCCAGCACTTTGGAAGGCTGAGACATGATGGCTTGAGCGCAGGAGTTTGAGGCCAGCCTGGGTGACATAGTGAGATCGGGCCTCTATCTCTTTAAGAATAATAGTAATCATAATCATAATCTACGTTGTATGCTATTTTGTACTGGCTGGGCTTGGGGTCAGTGATAAAGCATGTTTAGGACCCAGAATACTGCAAGGGTACAAACTAACATTTCAAAGCCTATTCACAGCCAGTGTATGTATTTAGTGGGGAGAGCCAGGAGAACAGATGAGAAAAGGAGAAGATTTGGATATATCTGTTTAGCAGAGTGATATATTCTGGCCGGTGGGTGTATGTCCCTGGCTATCTGTAAAGCTTGGTATAGATACCCACATGCAGCGACATGTGCTCGCAAGCACACAGAGCCCTCTTTCAGCAGCCAGAAGGTCATGTCACACTAGGGTGACACATTAGCCGAGGGACAGTTGACACCAGTGAGGGTAGGAACTTTTCAGGTAAGGAAGAGGCACAGCAGCGGAGGAGGGGTTAGAATCAGAGTCCATCTGGAACCAGGAGCAGAGGATCCGTTTTTCTCCCAAGTGTGGCTCAACGGTGCTACCTGGTCCAGGGCAATTGGAGTTTTATCTCCTGGGCGTCAGAAGCGGGTCCAGGTTTGTCCCACAGCTTTCTGTGGAGCACATATGTGGGTGGTGACAGCAATGCTTCCATCTCCTGTGAAATTTTTCCTGAATAGAACACGTCAGTCAAATCTGTAAACCATCCCCATGTTATCCTAATGCCATCCGTTAAGAGATGCCATCTGGTAGAGGTGCTCTCATAAAGGGAGTGGCCTTGTGTAATTCTCCGGGGTCTAGACTTAGCCTCCCCTCAGCAGTAGTGACTCACACAGGCCACGCCAGGACAGAGGAGGCGAGACGGTAAAGTTCAACACCCCTTCTCCAACCATGCCAGCTACGCGCCATCATCCTCCAGTGCCTTGCTGCGCCCTGGTGACCTCTTTATCACCTCACTGGTAGGGGATGGTAGCTAGTTCCGGCCGCATGGTGCCCACCAGCAGTGCTTCCTGTGACTGAGGAAGGAAGAAAATCAAGCCTGGAGTACTGAGCGCAGGTCAGAAGTGGGCGCCATGGCCACCTAAGAGCAGAGAGGTGGCCGCTACAGAGGTGCTAGAGTAACGCCAGGTTTATGATTTCTGTGGTTTCTCTAACTTTTCATTCCCAATTCATCTACTTTTTTTATAGATGCCTAACCCCCCTTTATTTCACACAGCTATGCAAATTGTGAGGCCAAGAATGACTGTAAACAATTAAGGTGTAATTCACATGAATAACCTCTCTTCCCCATGAAAATACTGTGTGTCACTTCACACTTGGTCTAACATACAAAATCCCCACCCTATCTGGCACAGATACACTCAACATGCAATATTAAGTACAATTTCCATTTTATTTTTATTGGACTAATCTGTCTGCAGTCTTGAAGGACTCAGCTGCTTACATGGGCTTTGGTGAGGGTTGTGGGGCAACACCCACAGGTCTAAATCGGGGTGGGGGTGTTCAGTCCTTGTGGCCCTCACGAGATGGATTCCTGACTACTTTGCTGTGAATTACACAACTCACTCAGTAATGGAGCTTCACATACAGCTTGGGAAGCACATAGGCATCGAAGAAGCTCACTTCGGAAATGTCCCTGACTGCTGCGGCCCCCACTAGGTTTCCAGTGATGAATTGTGTGTGTGCGCGCGTGAGCAACATGGCTGTTTATTCACACAGGTGTGGGCAGGCTGAGTCCGAAGAGTCAACAAAAGGGGTGGGGTAGGAGTTGGTTTTATAGGTTGTGGGGAAGGCAGTGGAAAGTTATAGGTCTTACAGTTTAGGGTGGTTTTTTGCAAGCTGGGAGGGGGTCTGGAGTCACAAGGCTGGCAAGGTCTATTACAAAGTCCAATAGCCTTATCAATTGGGGCAGGAATAAGGAACAATAGAGAATGTCTCAAAGTTAAGTAGGCTCCACAGGGGTTGATCATTTCTTCCCCTTTTCATGGTCTTCCAGGTACTTCAGATTTTTCAGGAACTCATCTGGAGTGTCCGTGCAGGTCACAGAGGTTAACATGGCTTCCAATGACGAATTTGTTAATGGCCTTGTCCTCGGGCACTGGTCATGCAGTGAATAGGCTGCACGTGGCCGCGGCCCTTTTAGGCACGGCCCTTGTTCTTTCTTTGTCATCTTGGAGGCACAGACTGGACAGAGCTAATTCATATACTTAAACAAACTGTGCCCCAAATTATAATAGTCCCTTTATTAAGCCTTCTTCAAATTACCTTAATTTATATGTTACATCGTCATTATCCTGGAACCCTGACTGATATAAACCCCATGTGTGAGTTTTGTTATGATTAGAAATTCTCTGAAGATAATTCTCTGTCTTGGTTTCAGCCATCTCCGAAGCTGAGGGAGGTAGCTGTCTCCATCACCTTTCTCTAATGAATAGATTTCCCCTCAGTTTACCTACAAGGAATATTACTTTTCTGAGGGTCTCGGATCTTGTTCATTTCTTATCTCACCACCAATTTGGTGGAGGCCTGTATTCCATCATGTAGTCTTTGGAATTCTATGAAATAAGACATTAACTTGAGCATTTGTTGGATTTTT